CTAGCTCAAAAACCAAAAGGGAAAAAAAAAAAACTAGTCCTTTGATATGAAGAAAAGATCAGGATAATGGAATAATGAAACATTTGGTGGCTGGTTTATGTCAAATGATTAGAAAAAATCATTAAAAACCAATGACTTTTAAGGTGTCTTTTAAATGGGACTTAAGTATAAGTTATGTGAACGTTTATTTAAAAAAATATTTATTATTTTTTGGGGCTGGAGCAATAGCACAGCGGGTAGGGCATTTGCCTTGCACGTGGCCGTGTTCGATTCCCGGCATCCCATATGGTCCCCTGAGCACCACCAGGAGTGATTCCTGAGTGCAAAGCCAGGAGTAACTCCTCAGCATTGCCGGCTGTGACCCAAAAAGAAAAAAAAAATTTATTGACTCAGTGAGTTACACAGTGATAAAGTTGTTCATGATTGGATGATTGGGTTTCGGCCATATAATGCTCCAACACCCATCCTTTCACCAGTGTGCATTTCCTGTCACCAAAGTCTCCAATCTCCCTCTCATCCCCCACCCCCCACCTGTCTTCATGGCAAGCATTTTTCTTCTCTCTCTCTCTCTCTCTCTCTCTCTCTCTCTCTCTCTCCCTGCATCTCTTTCTCTCCCTGCCTCCCTCCCTTCCTTCCTCCCTCCTTTTGGGCATTATGGTTTGTAGTACAGATATGTTATCGTATTATCATATATATTGTATCCATTTACCTACTTTCAACACTCAGTTCTTGTCCAGAGTGATCATTTCTATGTGACCCTTTTGAATCCTAATTTAACCATCTTTAAAATGAAGACAGCAATTGGATACAATACAAATTCTGAAGTGATTTTTAAACTGGACTTGAATAATAAGTAACCAATTTTGTAAAGATTAGAAATAAGAAGGGAAATTATCAAGGACATTAAGAAAAATAAATACGAAAAAAAATAAAAAAGTTATTACACCCCCACTTTCTCTAGTCTTGATCAGTCGTGGATATACTATTCTATTAATATCCATTGTAGAATTTGTGGTTGAGGGATGCAATCCCTAAAGACTAAAGCCACCATGAATACTTTCATTCAATGAGCATAACAATCTCAATTTGGGGCTAACTTTTTTAAAAGTATGCTGTTAATCATAGGGGAAATAAAAATAGGAAATAATGCAAATTCGTGAGTCAATAAAAAGTATCCTTTGTACTAAGAATAAGTATAAGCAAAGGTTTACCACTTCCATAGGTTAGTGAAAAATTTCAGAATGTGTTCAAGGAAAATAAAGTAATTCCATTTAAGCTATAGCACAGGACTTACAAAGATGACCAAGATAAGATATAAGCATAGGTTGATGAAATCAGTGAATAATTTTTGTGCCAAGTAGTTGACTTTATTCTTATCTAAATGCTGAAAAGCCTTTAAGTATCTGGAAGTTCAGTGCAGAAGAAAGAGTGGGAGTAGAGAGAATAGTTAGAAAGCTAATGTAGTAGTTCAGTTTTCAAGTAATAATAGAACTTACATAAAGAATTACTCTATGATTTCTTTTCAAACTGCTAAATGTTCATAGGTCAAGAATATAGTTAAGGGGGTGGAATAAGATTACAGTGGATAGGATACCTGAGCATCACCAGGGGTAATACATGAGTGTAGACCCAGGAAAAATCCTTGAGCATTGCCATGTGTATTCCAAAGCCCAAAACAAACAAAAAGAAATACAGTTAAGTAGTACATTGCTTATAGAAGATAAATCTGGATGTTTCTACAGTTTTAATGGAACTGATCATAAGACAAAAAAATCAAGTAGTTCAAAAAGTCAGAGGACTGATTTTATACTTTATATGCTTTATGCATAAGAAAAAAGAGGATATTGAAGCAGATTATGAGATATCGGGTCATTAACAGAAATAAGATAGCAGGTAATCTCACAGTGATCATGATCCTGAGGACCTGTTCTACTCTCACCATGGATATACTCTGTGACCTTGGGAAAACTGATTTTAACAGATGTAAAGTGGTGGCAGCAGAAGGTCTTTGAAATAGATTACAAATATTTTGTCTGTCTAGGAAATTAAGAGATTTTAAAATATGGTTGTAATCTCTTTCAACGTGGATCCAGGTTTGATCACCTGCACTACAAATGTTTTCCCTGGTCCTGCTAGGGAACGGAGCCAGGAGTAAAGACTAAATTCGGTGCTGCCCAAAAATCACAAAGAGAAATTGTGGTCTTTATAATACATCTGAAATAAAATATATGTTTCCTCTCACATTTTCCTAATTGTGCTTGTGTATTTATCTTTGTTTTGTTTAAATATTGGATTTTACTGTAGCTTTGTATCTGTTTTCCAACATAAATAAAATGTGAATTTTCTTTACATTCTTATATATTCAAAACCATAGTTTTCACAGTTTTACACAGCCATATTGATAGCCATAGTCAAGCCTCTAGGATTGTATACTTGTTTCTACAAAGAGAGGCAAACAAATTTTTACACACATTTTAATGTAATCTGCACTTTTAAAAAAAATCTGAAATTTTATGAAAACTACTATTTTTTGGTGGGTGGTACCCATGTTGGTGCTCAGAGATTATTCCTGGTTCTTGAATTACTCCTGATAGGCCCAATCATATGGGAATCATATGGGGTGCTAGGGATCAAACCCCAGTCAGCCTCATGCAAGGAAATTGCTCTACCCACTGTACTATCATTCCACATCTGCATTCCTCTGAGACCTGAAATACCTTTTTAAAGGTCATAGTTTTAAAGTTTCTGTATATCATCAAGCTGTGCTCAGATAAACCCATTCATTACACTTCCACCACTAAAGTGGGTTTGGCTGAAATCTTAACATAGGTAGATCTTTCAAACATTTTGAGGGAAAGAGTGGTTTGAGTCACACCCAGAGGTGCTCAAGGGCTACTCTTGCTTGCTGCTGAAGGAATATACATTGAGGATTTGAACTGTCACACTACATAAACTAAACACTTAAAAGTATTTGTTGAAATTTTGCACTTCTTTCTATTCAAGATACTACACTTGATCTTAGCCAAAGGGTAGGGCGTCTGCCTTGCACGCAGCCAACATGGCCGACCCGAGTTCGATTCCTCCGCCCCTCTCGGAGAGCCCAGCAAGCTACCGAGAGTATTTGATATGCCAGACACAGTAACAACAAAGTCTCCAATGGAGACGTTACTGGGCCCGCTCGAGCAAATCGATGATCAACGGGAGGGCCTTTACCTTTACCTTACCTTCTATTCAAGAATTGTAGTCTATTTAGGCACTTCCTATTGGATTCAATACTGTATTTAATTATGCCTGATATTTTATATAAGGAAATTCAACTTTAATCTTCACACTTGATCCAGAATTTTATTTTCACTCTCTTTAACATAAACTATAAATGATCATGCAGTGTTTTTCCTCTTCAGCTTCATCACCTATTTTCATTCCTTAAAGTGACTTAATAAGCATATAAGTTCACTTGTATTTCTACTTCTTTTATCTTTCGATAATATAGGTGAGGTTAATTACCAATCTAATGCATGATTTACGCAAAAAACTGAGTTTTGAATGTTTTTATTGTACTTGGGGCTATCATTAAAAAACAGATAAGCTATTCAGTTTCTTCTAGAGTTTTTGAAGGAATTTTTCTGCAATTCACATAACTTAGTTTTTAAATGGTCAGACTTATCATTGGAAAATTTGCAGGATGATGTCAGAGACATATATGTGTGTGTTCACACATATGTATATATATACACACACATACACACTTGTATATTATTGAATCACTGTGAGATACAATATAATCACTGAGTTACAATGTTGTATATGATTGGGTTCCCCCCTACCCCTACCTCTGTGGCAGGCACTTTTCTTTTCTCTCTCTCTCTCTTTCTCTCCACACACACACACACACACACACACACACGCGCGCACACACACACACCTTTGTGCATTATGGTTTGCAACACAGGTACTGAAAGGTTATCATGTTTGACGCTTTACCTACTTTCAATGCTTACTTCTTGTTCACAGTAATCATCATTTCTGACTATCTTTGGATACCTGGTATTTTGAAAGAGCAGTAATAATGGCACAAATCTTTGTCTTCTTCATACTTGTATCTCTGATAACAGAGTTTAGTAATCATCATTTCTGACTATCTTTGGATACCTGGTATTTTGAAAGAGCAGTAATAATGGCACAAATCTTTGTCTTCTTCATACTTGTATCTCTGATAACAGAGTTTCTCACCCTCCCTGGGGGCCATCTGGACCCCAGCCGAGACTCGCTGCCTTTGGTATGTGTTCCGACATAGAACCTCATATTTACTGGACATGAGTCCATCTTTTCCTGGGAAACCAAAGGTCTTAAATCCGGACATACTTGGAAAACAAACACTGCTCCAGTTCAAAAACAGAAAAACTTGGGTTCCAGAAGGCTACATAACATACACAAAAGATTGAGACAAATTCTGCTCAGGGCTGGATAGTACAGAGGGTAGGGCGTCTGCCTTGCATGCGCAGACGCAGATTCAATCCGGGGTGGGTGGGGGGGGTCCCATAAGCATCTCCAGGAGCGATTCCTGAGTTCAGAGGAAGGAATGACCCTTGAGCATAGGTGGGTGTGACCTAAAAGAAAAAAAGAAAATTCTGTTTGATTTCAAAATCTTAAAAAAAAAACCCATTCTGTGTGCATGGGCTCTGGGAAAACTGCTTTGGGGTCTCAGGTCAATGCTCTCCCCTCTCCACATTTAAACTCTCGAGGATCAAGCGATTTTCAGCGGACGCGACTGTCAACACCAGCCCTTCCGCGAGGGGGTCTCATGCGGCTTTACAACATTTCCAGACGTTTCCCAGCCAGGGGCAGGTGCGGGCCGGGCCCCGGCCCCCAACCGAGGGGCAAGGAACGCGCAGGTTCTCCGGCCGCCTCTGCTCTGCCCCCTGCCGCCCAGACACTGGGACTGCGCAGGGGGCGGGTGGGCGCGCCGAGCGGCGGCGGCCACTGCCCACTCGCACGGGCCATGGCGCGGGTGCTGATCGTGGGCGCCGGGCTGACGGGAAGCCTGTGCGCCGCGCTGCTGAGGAGGGAGGCGGCCGGTCCTTTGCGCCTCGCCGTGTGGGACCAGGCCGCGGACTCAGGTGGGTCGGCCGAGCGCCTGCGGCGCCACCGGAAGCCGACGCGGCCCCCGCGGGAGAGACGTCTGCGCCCTCCAGCCCGTCCGGGGCCCGCGCGGCTGCGCCGGGTCACGTGCTCGCCGCCCCTCCGCCGGAAGAGGCGCCAGAGGCCCGGGAGGGTGTCGGTCGCCCGCGGGCGGGGGCGGGGGGGCGGCCTTAGAAACTGCTGGAATCTTCGGGGAGGTGGGGGTGAAGCCTGGGGGGCTCCGCGGGAAGCCGGGTCAGGGACCCGAGGGCGGCGTTGTCGCTCCGGAGTGGACTTGGTCGCGCCCTGTCGCTGCTTCCGCTGTCGCCCGCCCCCGAGCACCCCCGCAGGGCTGCAGGCTCGGGCGAACTGGCGGAAACGCGCCAGAGACCTGACCTAAACGGCTGGGAGCCTGCTGGAGAGAATCGTGTCCCTCGGGAATGGGTTTTCCTGTGACCTGCCCCGGTTTCGCCCGCTCCTGGGGCCCCCCGAGGGCTCCTCGAGCCAGACTCTGGAGATCAGACAGAATCACGTCAGTCTCGCGGCTGAGAGGAGGGAGACGGCCTGTCCGTGCGCGCGCACGCGCGCCGCAGAGAATCCCGTCACTCCTGCGTGGGTTTGGATCTTGACCTGTGTCACCCCCAAAGGGATTTCTACGTGACCTGTCGCTGCTCCGCTGCCTTCTCCCGCCCTGGGGACCCCGGAGGGCTCCAGGCGCTAGAGATCTGACCGAATCATGTCGGTCTCGCGACTGCCAGCGACTGCCAGCCGTGCTGGAGCAGGGGTGGCTGATTGTTTTCAGACGTCTCTTTCGTCGTCTGATACTGTTCTTTCCTTTTATTCAAATTGGTCGTGACAAGCACCAAACAGTGGGATCCCTGCTGCGTCATTCACGAGTCCCTTAAAAGAAGGTCACAATAAATTAACAAAATGCCTTTATTGGAAAGGTTGGATGACCAAATTACCAGATTAACCGCCCCTCCCCACTCCAACAGAAAGTTTCCCAGTATGCCTGTATAGTTGGGTAATTTGGGGCGAATAGTGCCGATTGCAAAACACCTGTTCTAAAGCGCTAACACGTTTTCCTGTGGGTTGACTCAAGGAGGAAGAATGACCACAGCCCGTAATCCCCATAATCCACAGAGCACGGTTGACTTGGGTGCTCAGTACGTCACCTGCTCCTCGCATTATGCCAAAAAACACCAAAGGTAAGTTAGTAGGAAGGGGTGAAGTCAGTCTTAGTAGATGTAGGATGTGAAAATATGAATAATGTATAATTTCCAACCAGGTTAAATTTGGCTTCTGTAACTAAAGTTACTATATTGTTGGAGAGTATTGGCAATAAAAGATTTTTTTTGAGTTAACGTATTGCAATTCTCTATAGTGCTGTAAAGATAAAAAATGTTATATTGAACATGGAAAATATTAAGTATTAATATTATTTATCAGTAAATACCAATTCCTATTAATAAATATTATTTATAATTATATTATTTATGATCACATTATATATTATACGGAGTATAAATACAATACCAATTACATAATTACATAATTATATAATATTATTTATCAGTAAATATTAATTTCTGTGTTGATACCTTACTTTTTTTTTTTGCTTTTTGGGTCACACCCGGTGTTGCACAGGAGTTACCCCTGGCTCATGCACTCAGGAATTACTCTTGGCAGTGGGGGACCATATGGGATGCTGGGAATCAAACCTGGGTTGTCCGTGTGCAAGGTAAATGCCCTACCCACTGTGCCATCGCTCCAGCCTGATAACCTTACATTTTTGTTACTCTATACTGACTTTAATTTTGAAACATATGAGAAAATAGACCCTTGACAAAAGGTCCATGGCAGGAGCTCCAACAGTGACACAGCAGGTAGGGCGTTTGACTTGCACTGAACAAGCTGGGTTGGATCCTGGGACCACATGGCACCCCAGCTCATTTGAGTACTGGAAGGAGTAAGTCCAGGAGTAAGTCCTGAGCACAGCTGTGTTTGGCCCCCCAAAACAAAAGATCCTTGAGGATTCAAGGCATTTTTAAAAAATTTGCTTTATTAAAATATTTCACACAAGCATTGGGCTGGAGCAGTAGCACAGCAGGTAGGGCGTTTGCCTTGCACGCGGCTGACTTGGCCGACCCGAGTTCAATTCCTCTGCCCCTCTCGGAGAGCCCGGCAAGCTACCGAGAGTATCTCGCCCTCACGGCAAAGCCTGGCAAGCTCCCCGTGACGTATCCTGTATGCCAAACACAGTAACAACAAGTCTTACAATTGGAGACGTTACTGGGCCCGTCTGAGGAAACTGATGAACAATGGGAGGATAGTGCTACATTGCTACACAGACATTGATCATATTACTGATTTCTAGTTGTTATTTAGGATTATTTTCTTTTAAGAGTTCTTGGAAGAGAATTGTGTTTAGAATTAATTGTAATTATGTTGTCTACGTTGATTTATTACAGTTTTTATGATGAACTATTAGCACGTGGTATTCTGAAACCTCTGACCTCTCCTATTGAGGGAATGGTGATTAAAGATGGAGATCGTAACTTTGTGGCCCCTCAAGGAGTTTCTTCGATTGTTAAGCATTACTTGAAAGAATCAGGTAGGAATAGGATTTTTCCCTGCCCTCTTTCAAAATTGACATTTTCAAAGTAAAAGTGATGTACAGGCAAAGGGGTCTATTACATAGTAGTAGAAAGAAAGTAGACTTTTGGTAGTGAACATAATATAGTATATAGACACATTAAATTACAATGTTGTGTAACCAGGGCTGGAGCAATAGCACAGTGGTAGGGAGTTTGCCTTGCGCACAGCCAGCCCGGCCGAGTCGGGTTCAATTCTTCCACCCCTCTCGGGGAGCCTGGCAAGCTACCGAGAGTATCTCGCCTGCACAGCAAAGCCTGGCAAGCTCCCCATGACATATTTGATATGCCAAAACACAGTAACAATAAGTCTCACAATGGAGACGTTACTGGGCCCACTCAAGCAAATCAATGAACAACGGGAGTACAGTGACAGTGCTATAGTAACCAGTATTTATTTATAGTCATCATAGCGATAGCACAGCGGGTAGGGCGTTCGCCTTACAAGCGGCCAACATGGCCGACCCGAGTTCGATTCCTCCGCCCCTCTCGGAGAGCCCGGCAAGCTACCGAGAGTATTCGATATGCCAGACACAGTAACAACAAAGTCTCCAGTAGAGACGTTACTGGGCCCGCTCGAGCAAATCGACGATCAACGGGAGGGCCTTTACCTTTACCTTATACTTTCAGGGAATATCTGTTTGGGATATGTCTAACCTTTAGAATAGGTCCAGTCAATATTTCACTGGACCAGTTTTCCAGAACAAGTAGTAAAGGACAGGGAAAAATAGACATGTCTCTTTTGGCCTAATTAATGTGCTTACGTTAACCTTATTACAGAAAGCTGTATTTCTGCAATAAATATTAGAGGACACTGTGTGTGTTTACTCTAAAACCCAACTACCTGCCCTTATTAATTTCTTTAATACCACCATTTCTTTGAGTAAATGAAGTATTATTTTTTAGGAGTGGGCTGACTTGGTTGTCATTGCTGAGTAAGAGAAATGCACTGTAACAAAAGTGAATCTGTTTCCAGTGAAGTGCTAACCCTCTGACACTTTTCATTCTCACAATGAGCATTCAGTCGTTATCATTGTCCTTGTTAATAATAAGTAAAAAGGGACTCTACTTTGCCTGTGATAACTTGGCAAGTAAGTAATTGAAAGGGAACTCCCTTCAAGCTTTGGGGGGCCTTAAGGACATGTTGTCTTTCCCTATTAACTGTTGTGTGGTGGGTATTTGAGAGGTATTCACATCCTCTGATATGATATTTACTTTGCAGAATCTTCTTTTCTCTCCCTAGCTTTTCCCCTTCAGGACAAGAGATTGCCCCTGTCACTTTGGTGAGACATGTCCTTTGGTTCTCCTTTGGTGTTGATTAATCCCTGCCCCTGAGGGAAGGAGTTATTAAGCATTAATATCATTTTGTTTTCTTATGCAACCTGGGAGACTTGTCACCTGACAGGTTTCTGTGACATTTGGAAAGCGATTAGCCAAGTCCTTTTACTTTTGAATAAGGCCCATATTGTTAAATCAGTTGTAAGAAGATGAATTTAACTTTTAGAACTGGGTGAAAATTTTTTCTTTGGTTTCACCATTAATAGGGAGGTCTGTTGCTGGATTTGTTTTTACCTTTCACTTTATTTAAAATTTTAATTGATATTCTGTGGTTTACAATGCTATTAGTAATGGTATCTCATGTATGTAATGTTGTTGGAGCTGTACTGAAGGAATCTTTATCCATGGTTGATGGGAATGTCCTCTAGTTCAGTCTTCATGGAAAGTAGTATGGAGATCTATCAAAAAAAAAGAAAGGAATGGAACTACCATATGACTCAGTGACATCTCTTCTTATCGTCTACCCCCAAAATACAAAAATATTAATTAGAAAGGATATATATATACACACACCTTGTGTTCATAACTACACTTAGCACAATACTCAAAATATGAAAACAACTCAAATGCTCAATTACGATTTACTTTAAAAGGGACATTTGTTAACAATATGAAAAATCAATGCACGCAATATAAATTGTCAGAATTGAATACATTGATTTATTAGAAAAGATGTTTCAGTTTGCAGATGCTGTCAGCTATGGTGACTTCTTTTCAGTAAATATGTACATTTGTTATTCTCTCTCTTTTAAAGCTTGTGTTTATTTTCTTCGTAAAATTGATATTTAGGAAGTAAAATCGATGTTTAGTTCTGTATCAGACTATCTCCAGGTAAGTGATCATGGCACTAATCCATAGAGAGGGACTTGGTCAAATTGACCAGGCTTAGAAATAATTCTTAAGACATTAGTATATTGTTCATCGTTTTAAATGAGAGTTTCCAGATCCTAAAGCTTTTAACATGAATCTTAGAAAGTTATTATTTTTACAAGGAAATGCCACTTTGCTAGAAACTACTCCTAGCAGCTAAAAAGAAAATTTCCTGGTTAGTAAGAGTTGCTTTTCCCTGCCCCTAATTTCTTGGTGGCTTTTGTAGTTGTGGTGTTAGAGTAAAGTAAAGTAAAAGTAAAGGCCCTCCCGTTGATCATCGATTTGCTCGAGCGGGCCCAGTAACATCTCCATTGGAGACTTCGTTGTTACTGTGTTTGGCATACCGAATACGTCACGGGTAGCTTGCCGTGACGTATCTCTGCCGTGCGGGCGAGATACTCTCGGTAGCTTGCCGGGCTCTCCGAGAGGGGCAGAGGAATCGAACTCGGGTCGGCCATGTTGGCTGCATGCAAGGCAAACGCCCTACCGCTGTGCTATAATTACTACTTGTTGCCCAGGGATCACTCCTGGTTGGTGCTGGAATTCTGGGAACTGATCTGTACTGGAATTGAACCTGGCTTCTCTCATGCAAAGCTTGCCTATTAACCCTTTGAGCTATAATTCTAGCCCTTGCCTCTGATTCTTTACTTTCTCCTTCATACAGAAAATCCTGATTATATGTTCATGAATTTGCTTTTGGAATAGGTGCTGAAATCTACTTCAGATATTGTGTGACCCAGATCAACCTCAGAAATGGCAAATGGGAAGTCTCCAAAGAATCAGGCCCTTCTGAGCTGTTTGATGCTGTTGTCCTCACAATGCCAGTTCCTCAGATTTTACAGCTACAAGGTGACATCGCAAACTGTGAGTCTCAGCCTTTGCTGTGCCTTGGGGATTGACATTTCTCTGATGCATGAATGCAGTTTACCTCTCTTTGCAAGAGATATGTTATGGATTTTACTAATTTTCATGCTTTGGAAACTGATATTATGATCTAGTTTGCATTTCTTAACCAGGGCACATGGCCCCCAGGAGATTCCAAGATGCCACAGGTGAAAATAGGGCCAGAGAGATAGTATAGCAGGTAAGAAGGCTCTTGCCTTGTATGTGTCTAGCCTAAGTTCGACCCCCAAAAGTAATTTAGAGAATTTTAAAAAATGATTTAGGTGTTGAACGTTTTCTGATTGTCCTTGCCTTTAAGAGGTCAATATTTCTGATTCATATGCATTAGTTTGAGTTGAAGGAAGAGCAGTTTCTCAGTGGCCATCTGGAAAAAAGGATTTTTATGAAAAAAGGACTTGTTTGGGTTGTTTCATTTTCTGAGTTTTTGATCACTGTGTTGTATTCTTGGTTTTTACTTCTGGGAGTGAGGGAACTCTCAAATGGTGCTCATGAGGTCACAGGACTCCACCAGTGATTCTCACCCTACCAGCTCATAATTTAGTGTAGTGTCAAGAATACTCTACCTCTACCTGGGCCATCTGGGCCATGCTGGGAACCTCCACTCCACACCCCTGGTGTAGGGGACTTGATAGTCACTTACGTGTGAGGTATTTGCTGACACTTATCATGAAAGGGGTGGGGTGAGGAAGGGGGAGTAAATTATATCGAATGAACTAAAATCATTCTAATGGACCAAGAATTATGAGAAAGGAACTAGAATTCAAAAGTCTTTTCTTATTTTCTAAAGTAGTAGAGATAAAATGTGTTTTCTTTTTTTTTAAAGTTTTAAAATACTTTATATTTTTTGCCTGTGAATATGATTTTATTTTATTTTATTTTTAAAAATTTTTTAATTTTTTTAATTTTTAAATTTTTATTAGTGAAACACCATGAGGTACAGTTGTAGACTTACAAATTTTTGTGCTTGGATTTCAGTTACACAATGATCGAGTACCCATCCCGCCACCAGTGCCCATTCTTCACCACCACTAATTCCCAGTATCACTCCCACCCTAAAATGTATTTTCTTGTTAAAGAAAATTAAGGTGTAGTCTAAGGAAGACTATGATGGACTATTGATATGTAGAATGACATCTTATTTTATTGAGGAATTCTCAGCAAGGGGTAGAGACAAAGACAGACACTTGGAGGAACAAGAGCAAAACTAAAAACGAAAACAAAACAAACAAAAAATATCCGGAAAAAAATACAGTTTATGTAGCACAGATACTGATCCAGTAGAATTGCCTCTAAAGACTGTGTGCCCAAGATTCATGCCATGTTTGTACAGTTTTATCTCCAGGAGAATGGGTTGCATTTTTGACTATGGAGAAAACAGACAGAATTACATATGACAAAATGATTTAGTACACAAACAGGCCAGGGTAATATAGTACACAGTTTTGGTAAAACTGGGAATCCAGCTTCCTCTGATAGTGGTAATGAGCCAAAAGCAGGGAAAGGATTTCCTTTATAGGAATCACACCTCTCCTCATTAAAATGGGTATCAGTCTCATAAATCAGGGACAGGAGTCAATCTTGTCTTCACGATTTAACGACGCAGGTGTCATTATTTTATAATATCTAATCAATTTTTCTGTGGAGAGAAAGCTTTAAACTTTTGTAGAGAATGTATTTTTGGGACAGCAGACTTTAAAATCTGTATGCACTTGTTTCCTTTGAATTGTTGATTTTGTTTGTTTGGTGACTCCTTTGTATTAGTGTATTTTAAGGACTAGAGAAAGGCTCAGTTATCTCCAAAGAAATCTGGAATGTGTTCAAAGAAAGCATAAAGAAATTACGATTAAATGACCTGTAATTCAGTGTTATTTTTTTAATGATAACCAAAGTTAATTTTTTTAAGTTGGCCATCAGCTGCCACAAAACATCAACCCTAGCACTGGACAGAGGTCAAGGTGCTTACCTTGTATGCAGTCAACCCCTTGTATGCAGTATGTAGTCAGTTCTACATTGTATGCAGTTTTGATCCCAGGCAATACCTATGGCCCCATGAGCACCACCAGGAGTGATTCTTGGGGCCAGGAGTAAGTAGGCCCTGAGCACCTTTACCTGTTCCCCAACCACGCAACCCAAATCAACCTCAATTCTATTTCAACACAGAAAAATGTCTCATTTTTATTTATAAAAATTAAGTTGAATTTAATTAATCTCTAAGTTTTGGATATCTATTTGACATTTGTAGAATTATTATCCTGTATTTTGATAGTTAAGTTTGAGTTTGATCAAATTGTATATAGGACTGGGCAGTAGGCTTTTAGAATTTGTGATATATTCCTTAATCATGCTCTGAGTAAATACTATTGAGTTTGGAGAATTTTTATGTGATTATTAGAATTTACAAGTTAGGGCAGGACATTTAAAAAAGCTTCTCTACAAGTGTAAAATGTGTCTATGTACTTTGCATGCTTTATGTATGTATTTGATATGTGGTTTGAGAAATAGTTTTACATTTGGTATGTAATTAGTGATTATTTCTAAGCTGATCTATATGAAATATAGTTCTGTACGTGAACAATGTTCAAATATTGTCTACTTCATGTAGTTTGACCTAAATACAAATGCCACATAATAAAGATGTAGGAAATAAATTAATGATAAAGTTGGTAACAGATGAAGTGGGTCTGAACACTTTTTAGGATCATAAAGACTCCTTTGGCATGTAATAAGCATTCCTCAAAGTTCTCTGAGGTATTTAGTAACCCTTATGATCATATTTTCTCATTTTTGGTATTGGCATTATTTTTACTCTTTTAAAGATTTTAGATCTTGCAATTGGGTTAGCGTTATATGCTTTATGTTTAAATACTAAATTTTGTTTATTTTTCTAATATGAAATATGAGATGGCAATGGTTTTTATACTTTTGCCCCAATTCAACCCTAATCTACAAATGTCCAGTTTCATTAATATATATAAATACCAGAATCCCACACAAGGTAATGTAAGCAGAAGAACTTGGAGATGTTCAAAGGTTTTTTTTTTTGTTGTTGTTTGTTTGTTTTTGGGCCACACCTGGCAATGCTTGGGAGTTATTCTGGACTCTGCATTCAGGAATTATTCCTTGTGATGCTCTGGGGACCATGTGTGATGTCAGGAATTGAACTGGGTTGGCTGCTTACAGGGCAAATGCCCTACCCACTGTATTATCACTCCAGCCCTACACATTTCTTATAATGTACTCCAGCACATTTGTGTCTGACTAATCTTGTTTGAATGGTCCTCTATTGAGGACTTTGGAATAAGAATGCTGGGAAAAATTCTAAATAGGAGCAGTGTGTGAGAATTTCCCTTAGAGTGGATGAATCTTGTCAGTCTTACTGTTTCAGTGACTGAAATTTAAATTCTTGGAAGGCAGCATCTTCTGGACTTCACTGGATCACTTTCCCAAAAGGGAATGCAGGGTCATTGTTACAATTTTTTCAGATGCTTGTAAACAGTGGAGACTAAGTAATAACTCAAATAGTGTCAAACAAAGAATTTTTGTATATTCAGTAATCAAAATCAATGTATTTACTACATGAGTATTCTTTGACATTTGAAAAAACAAGGGACTGATTGAGATTCATTTATTTTCATTTGTCTGGCACATCCTTTTTTCTTTGAACCTTTCAGAGAGTCATTATTTCTGAGATACCTCTTTAGTAATTTTTCACTTTTGAGTTTAGTAATCTTCAGGATAAATCTTATTCTTCAAAGTTTTGTTTGGAGTCAGTTTTATATGGGAAGCATATTGTCCACCTTGAAAAGATTCAGTTTTTTCCTTATTTTAGAGTCAGCTTCCTTCTAATTTTAGTATAGAAAAAATAATTTTTGTTTTATTATGGACTCATGATATTTTAAAAAAGATCAGCAACTCTCTCATGTTTACCATTTATATTAAACTCACTTTCAACTTTGACCATTGTAGCAATTCTTAACCTTTTCTTTTTGGTTTGTGTTTTATGTTTTCTTCCATGTCTCCCAGGCAGTTTTTGGAAGTACCCCTATTTGACATTTTGCACTGAAGAAGTCATACATTCCTTCACTGTTTCTAGATCCTAGCTTGAATGTTTATTGAATTACTTCATTTCTGGAATGTTTTTTTCTGATATGTGTTTTATATTTATTAGTTCATTTGTTAGGTTCTGTTATGTTCCATTATCATCCCCTTTGTTTTTTACCCCCTGTGTAAGTCCCTCTTTGATTATTATATATCTTTAAATGGGATCAGTTCTATCCATTTTGTGAATAATAAAGTCTGGGAAGAATAGAAATTTTGCACGGCAGAGCCTGGCAAACTCCCCATGATGTATTTGATGGGCTGGAGCATAGCACAGCGGGTAGGGCGTTTGCCTTGCACGCAGCCAACATGGCCGACCAGAGTTCGATTCCTCCGCCCCTCTCGGAGAGGCAAGCTACCGAGAGTATTCGATATGCCAGACACAGTAACAACAAAGTCTCCAATGGAGACGTTACTGGGCCCGCTCGAGCAAATCGATGATCAACGGGAGGGCCTTTACTTTACTTTATCTATATTAGAGAATATTAGTGGTTATTAGTATAATGCTATATTAATATACATCTACATGGAAAGAATACAAAATACTTTTAAATATTTATTTTTAAAAAATAATTTATGTTTGGTGACTATCTAGTGACTCCTGGATTCCCTGAGCACTGCTTGGAAACGTCTTACCCAGAAAAAAAAAAAAAACAGGAATCATGCATTTATGTATTTCTTTTCGCTCCAAAATAGTTTACTGAAATGAAGTAACATTGCCAATACTGGAGTTGATTTCCATGTTCTTCATAATTTTTTGAATAATTATAACATCAAAAATAAGGGCATCTTTTCCCTGATATTCCAAATAATAATGTTGACATCATTTACAAAATGTATCAAGCTGCAAAGGAAACATCTTT